AAGTTCACAGGATAGCTGTTAGATAAATATAAAAAAATCAAAGTCAATATACAAAAATAATACAAACTATCAATATATAAAAATATACAAACTATCAATGAACAATTGGAAAAAGCAAATAAAAGACTATTTTTACATAGCATTGAGAAGCCTTAAATAACTAGCAATACATTTTACTAGAAATGTATAACACACCTATAATGAAAACTAGAAGAGACAGAAATGAAGAAGACCACAATAAACAGAGAAAAACAATGTTCATAAATTGGTAAACTCAGTGTTGCAAAGATGTCCGTTCTCCATAAATTGATCCAGAGTAACTGAATAGAGTAAATGCGATCCCAGTCAAAACCAGTAGACATTTGGATAAACTGTCAAGCTGATTCTGAAATTTATATGGAAATGTCAATCTTGAAGAAGAAATATAAAAGTGTAAGAGTAACACCACTTGATATCGTAACTTAATGTAAAGCCGCAGTAGTGAAGACAGTGTGGTATTGATAGAAGGACAGTGAAATAGAGCAGTCAACAGAATAGAGTCCAGAAGTCAACCCACCCTATACAATCAGTTGATTCACAATACAGATGCCAACGCAATCCAACGGGAAAGGGGTTTTACCAGAACAACTGGATGTGCGTGGGAAAGAAACAGACAAAATGAACTTTGATCATCATTTCTCACCATCTACATTTAATTTGAGATGAACACAGGAAATGTAAACCTGGGAGTTTACCCATCGGCCCCTGGGAGTCCTTTTTACATGCGTGATACGCCCCTGTTCCCATCCCAGGATCCACGATCCCCTCCCAGGATCCACGACCCCCACCAGGATCCACGACCCCCACCAGGATCCACAGCCTCCTCTCAGGATCCTGGTCCTTCTGTTCGTCTTGGCAGGTGCCTGCGTTTTATTTTCCTACCCTTCCCCTCTGTGAAGGCTCCCGACTTCTTCCTTTCCTGATCTGACCTTGTTCCACTGCAAATTCTAGGCTACCTCTTCCCCCCAGCCCTCAGATCCTCCCCTGCAGCCTTCCCGCCATTGTTCTCTTTGGAGGCTGCACCAGCTCTTCCGTCTTCCCTGCATAGCGGCAGCAACTTCCTGTGTGTCCCCTGCTCAGCCTGGACCCCCACCCCCGCTGCCTGGTCCCCTCTCAGTTGTCAGTTTTATGTCTTTCATGTACGTCTGATATCATCCCTCTCCTGCTTAAATCCATTTGCAATCCCCCGCAGAGCAACCGAGGGAAAGCCACGCCCCTCATCACAACCCTTTAAAGCCACGCCCCTCGTCGCAGCCCTTTAAGCCACGCCCCTCGTCACAGCCCTTTAAAGCCACGCCCCTCGTCCCAGCCCTTTAAGCCACACCCCTCATTACAGACCTTTAAAGCCACACTCCTCATCATAGCCCTTTAAGGCCATGCCCCTCGTCACTGCCCTGTCTCAGCTCCGCTCTGTGTCTTTGTCTGCCTCAGCTTCCTCACCGCCCTCTGGCATCGGGGTTCCTTCTTCTTCATGGCGCCCGGGTTGCGCCTCTGTACCTTACCCTGCTTTGGCTCCGTTTCCCTGGGAGGGTCCTGCCTTCCCTTCAAGGTTCTTCTTAGACTGACCTGACTGTGCTGGAGACGGTCACCCCTTCCTCCGCACCCACACTGCCCTTGGAAGGCGCAGACACCACACTTCCGGGAAGCCTCCCCTGCGTTCTGAGTGGGGACATGTGACCCTCCTGCTCCTCTAACATTAGGGCCACTGGATGATTTGACGTCCAACTGGGCCCTCACCAGTAAAGGGGGCACTAAGGCCACGGGCACAGCCATGAACTGGAAGTACTGAGGGTGAGCTGGGACAAATGGCAGCTCCTTAAGGCTTCTGTACACCTCGTGCACCCTCAGCACGCTGTCTTTGCATTATGTTTGTGTCTGTCTCTTCTCCAGACGTCAAGCTCTCTGGGGACAGGGGTCATAGCATGGTGGGTCCACATCTCAAGCCCTAGGCCGGGTGCCCAGCACGGAGCTGACTTAGTGATGTTTGTGAACCCAAAAGGGAGGGAGAGGGCCTGGAGTACTGGACTCTGCTGTGAGAAAACCTGGGCCCCTCCTCTGATGATCCGTTCAGCTGTCAGGTGAGAGATCAGGACAAGAGTGGCCAGGAAGCTTCCAGAATCCAGGACCAGCCTGGTCTGATTCCACTTAACTATACTCTATCTTAACCACATCATTTATTCATTTGGCCATATCTCTTTCAATGGTCCATCCATCCATCCATCCATCCATCCACCCACCCACCCACTTATCCATCCATCTATCCACCCACTTATCCATCCATCCACTTATCCATCCATCTGCTTGTCCCTCCATTTGACAAGAACTCATCAAGCCACTTTACCTGCCAGTCCCAGGGAGACAGCAGCAAGTCAGCTGCAGGCTCTGTGCCCTCATGGAGCTCCCCTTCTAGGGAGACACAGACACTAAAGAGGCAAACTCAGGAGCGAATAAGCAGGCGTGGGAAGCACATGACACAATGGACTGTGCTGGTCAGGGGTGGGGGCTGCTGGACACAGTGGTCACTGTGGGCACTGACGGGGCAGTGCACACTAGAGGAGCTGAGAATTTGGCATCTGCTGCCAGGAAGCCCCGGGCATCACAGAACAGGGCAGACAGTCACAAGGACGGGTCCCTGAAGGCTGAGCAAGACGGTGCCAGGGGCAGGGACACCAGAAGGCAGCGAGGTGGGTGTGCCAAGGTCAGGGCGGGCGGGACACACCTGGAGTTCTGCAGAGGCGGGCCAGGCGATGCATCTGGTCTTGAAGGTTTGGGCGGGCCGCCCTCTGTGGAGGCCTGGATCCCTGCCATGCGGGCAAGGAGACCTTGCCCTGACGTCTCTCACAGACCTGGGCTCAGAGCAGTCAGGTGACACGCTGGAGGTCACCCAGCCTGAGAAGAGCGGGCAGGACTGGAGTGAAGCTCTGCCCGGGCTGTAGTCCAGCTTTTGCGGCTGCCTGGACCCAGACCAGCCCAAGGCAGCCTTATCCTTCCATGTGGCTGTAGCTTCTCCAGGTCCAGAACGTGACCTGGTTGTCTCTGGGCTTAGCAGTGGGTGCCGGGGCAGAGGCCCCTTGCTCTCCATCTGTCTAGACTGGGCTGTTTGTCATGTGCTCCAGACACCATCAGCAGACAGACACCTTCCTGTCCTGCTCTACACAGATGGATGGCCCCACGGGGGGCCCTGCAGCTATTTCCTGGGCTGGGAGGATGGAACGGGTCCTGTAGGTGTCACCTCTGAAACTGTCCCCACCCTTATCCCATTTCCAGGTCTTTCAGGAAGGAGGCCACATGTTTCCTGGGGTCTTGTGTGAAGTATCACAAGAATGAACAACCCCTCCCACCCTGCCCCTCAAAGCCTAAGCCTCCCCTGGCCAGCAGGGCTCAGGTTTTCCCATCCTCCTGAGCTCCCCAGATGGCCTTTAGACTAACAATGCCCACACTTTCCTCCTCCTGAGCCCCCTAGATGGCCTTTAGACCAACAAACAGCACCCATACTCCCTGCTGAGCTGCCTGTCCTGAGGGCACGGTCTAGGGAGAACTGGCAGCGGGCAGGGGTCGGGGGACTTGGTGTGACCAGAACATGTTTATCCTGGGGAAGGAAGAAAACCCAGCAAAGGCCCATGCCTCTGGGTTGGGGGACTACATGTAAGCTTTTTTTTCCAGTTTTTAAGGTTCTTCAAGGTTTCCATAAATGAGCAACATATTACTTTTCCAGTGGAAAAAGAACAACTTTATTCAAAGGCAGCTGCAGAATGTCCCACCCGGCACCAATAGCACCCATTGAGTGCCTTCCTTTGGGCAAAAAGAAAATTTCTGCTGGTCTTTATTAAAAAAAAAATACACGACTGGAGTGCTTTTCATAAAAAATGTCCCCTCTGAGTGGAAAAATATTTCGGCGATTTATCTTTTTAGTATTTTCTACAGAGCTTGAATGTTTTAACACTGACCAGAAAGTATTTTATTTCATGGTCAGAAAACACATCAAATGGTTTGTGCTTTGGAAATTTGGCTTCACCTCCTCTCTCTCTGTCTTTTCCTTCCTTTCTCTCTCTCTCTCTCTCTCTCTCTCTCTCCAAAGCAAACCCTGGGTGCAAAAGCTCCAGACGTCCCAGGGCTGAGGAGGGAGGGTGAAAACAGAGGTGGGAGACTTGAGCAATCCCGCAGAGAGCAGATGGCCCTGGGGACTCAGGAGAGGCCTGGTGGGGACCAGTGTGGGAGGGGATGGGAGCGGACCGAGGGGATGGGAGCGGACCGAGGGGATGGGAGCAGACCGAGGGGATGGAGGCTCCTGTGTCCGCCGGCCCACGAGGCTGGGTCTGTTCTGTACAGAAACAGCACCACCTGGTGGCTTCTGCTGGTGACATCAGTCATCTGCCCGTCCTGGGGCCTCAGAGAGGGGGACAGAGCCCTGGGTGTGGTCCCCGTGGCGGGGGGGGGGGGCGGGCAGGACGATGATGGCTGAGCGGGGCGGGGAGTAAGTAGTAGTTCCACCCCAACTCTGTAGTGGGAGAATCAGAGTCTCAGCCAGCAGGTGGCATGGACAGCGCCCACCTAGCCCAGGTGTCCAGAAGCCTGAGTTCCAATCCGGCCACTGTGGGCTGGGGGCTGGCTGTTTTACTTCGCAGTTTTCTCCCCTGTGACTGAGGTGCAGCAGGGTGGAGAGGGGCCCGGTGAGGGGATCTGGGCTGGGCCTGGGGGCGTGGTGCCCGTTCTCACCCCTATTCAGGAGGCTTCTCCTTTCTCCCACCTTGCCCGACCTCTCTCCAGCTCCATTTTCCTGCCTCCCTCATCCTCAGCAGGCCTGGCCAGGGGGTGGTCAGGACCAAGTCTCCCCAGCTGTGTCCAGCCCTTGGGTGCTCAGGGTAAGAGCTAGGTGGTGGGTGGGGCTCCTCCCGGTCCTGGAAGCATCTGGGTGCGGGGTGGGCACTTCCTGGAAGGCCCTGTGGGTGGGGCAAGCCCACTTATAGGAGGCCCATGGGCAGGGACTGTCCCCTCGCGCCCAGCTCGGCACCCTCCCCCAGGGCCCTCCGCAGCACCACCCGCAGTGGCTCCCGCTTCCCGGGCTGCCGGCCCGACGCCAAGTAGATGAGGGGCTTGGAGCTGCTGTTGATGCAGGCCAGCAGCGTGGCCAGCGGTAAAAACATGGGCAGCAGGAAGTGCAGCAGGAAGTTCAGCAGGGGCTGCAGGCTCCAGTAGAGGACCAAGGGCAGGCCACAGAAGAAGAACAGGAACAGCGCACCCAGGACGATGCCGTAGAGCCTGGGCCGCGGGCGCGTGGAGCAGCAGGTCACCCAGACAAAGAGGACCACGCCAGCCGTGCAGGCCACGCAGGCCAGCACCAGGAGCCAGATGACGCTGGCCACGTGGTAGCGCAGGCAGACCAGGAGGCGCGTGCTGTTGCGCAGCAGGCCGCAGGCGTTGGCGGGCAGCAGCACGGCCGGCAGGGTCAGGGCCCACACCAGGGCGCAGAGGATGGCTGAGGCGTGTCTGGGCCAGCAGCCCTGGTAGCAGGTGGGGAAGAGGTTGGAGAGGCAGCGCTCCACGCTGAAGGCCGCCAGCAGCCAGAGCCCCACCGCGAACCACAGGAAGGTGAGCACGAAGTAGAGTGTGTCCTGGGCACCCAGGGCAGCCTGAGCCACGGAGAAGCCCATGTGGCAGGAGAGGAACAGGAAGTCGGCGGCGGCCAGGTGCAGCAGGTAGACAGAGAAGGGGCCCTTCTTGATGTGGAAGCCGAGGTTCCAGAGCACCAGCCCGTTACCTACCAGTCCCCCAAGGCCCACGATCAGCGTGAGGTAGAAGACCACGCTGTCAAAGGTTTTCCAGAGGCTGAACAGCCCGAACATCCTGGCCAGCTCAGAGGGTGCTGGTGAGGGACCTGCAAGAGGGAGACAGACATAGTCCTCGGGCGTCTTTTGTGCTCCCGCTGGGGGCACAGGGAGTGGCATCCATGGCCCTGCAGATGCCCTCTGGCTGCAGCCCCTGGACCTCCCTTCCCAGCGGCGGGACCTCAGCCGGGGCTCAGCCCTCTGCACCTCAGGTCAAGTGTGCCTAACGCCTCCCCATGCCTGCGGGCAGGCCCTGGGCTCCTGGCACGGTGCACTAACGTGCTCAAAAGATGTCCGCATCCCTCATGGATGTGGTGAGGGCGACGCTGCACCCTCCACCATGTGCCAGGGAAGGCTCTGCAGACAGAGGGGACGTGCATGGGGAACCCACGTGCGGGGCCTTCCTCTTCCCCCAGAGGTGGGAGCTTCTCCACGGTGGACCCCCATGGGGCTCCTACCTGGTGAGCCTAGACCAGCCTGCTGGCAAAGTCCTCTCCCCGGAGCGTCTCTGGAGGTGTCCAGGGAGGTGCCCAAAGGCAGAGGCTTCAGGTGGCCTGAGGAGGAGGGAAGAGGGAGGAGGGAAGATGTGGTGTGAGGAGTTGGAGGGAGCCCCAGCCTTCCCTGTGCACTCCTGGCCTAAGCAGAGGCTGAATTCCGGGGCTCATGCTGCCGGCGGTGCACTTGGTGCACTCAGGAGGCTGCTCTGAAGCCTCAAACCAAGGGAGGGGCTTTGGTGATGGTGGCAGGGCCAGAGGGCCTCTCCAGGAGCCGCTAACACAAGGGGAGGGGCAGATACAAGCGGCCATTTGCAAGGAGCGAGGCCGAGGAAGTTCTCAGATGTTCTCAGAGCGCGAGAGATTGGCCATACGAAGCTGCACTGAAAGGCAGAGGGTCTCAGAGCAGCCCTTCCCTTTCCAGCCATCCCTCCAACCCCAGGATCCACACGGGTCCTGTTCTTAGTCCTGGGAGATGCATCAGGACCCAGGCTCAGCAGCGAGGGCATCAGCGGTGAGAGACACGGGAGAGAAGAGAGATAGAGAGAGACAGAGAGATGTAGACAGACATTGAGAGACAGAGACAGAGAGACAGACAAACAGACAGAGAGCGATCTAGCTGCCAACACACACCTCCCTGTCTGTCACACCTTTGCCTGGGCTGTGTCCCCAGCCCAGACAGCCCTCAATACCTCTTCCCTGACCCAGATCCTGCTCAATACCTCTTGCCTGACCCAGGTCCTGCCCTACTTCAAGGTTTGACTCCTTCTCGGGGACCTGCAACCTCCTGCAGCTTCCTCCGGCCCCCGTGAGTCCCCTGCCTCATGCCCGAGCATCCCCCAGCACCTTCTTTGTGCTTGTCCTTGCCCCTAGTCGGAGGGTGGGGAGTGCGGCTCGGGCCTCGGCTCCTGTGCCTTGCCGTGGCCAGGCACACGGTGATGGTGGCCTGTCCTCCGAGCCCAGTCAGGGGGAGTGGGAGACCTCGGCCGGACCCTGGCTTGTGGTGGTGACCGTGGTGACTGGGGGTGGGGTGGTGGGGTGGGCACACACCTCCCCTCTGTGAGCCTCAATTTCCCCGGGGAGGTAACCAGACTCTCCTGGCTGTGCTCTGACTCCGGCTCAGAGTCTGAGGGCTGGGGGTGAGGCCGGTGCTCGGGCCCCCGTGCTGGGGTGAGGGTGGGCTCTGTTCCTGGAAAGAGAGTTACAGAGAGGAATGGCATGGTGGCAGGAGGGGGCATCTTCATTTTTATTAGAACAGGTTCACCTGCCTGGCCCGCTCCAGCAACGCCCTCGAGCTCTAGTGTCCACACGTTTCAACTCAGCCAGCATTCCCACCACCATCCTGCCCTACCTTCCCTTCCCAAAGGAAATCCAAACTTCCCAGCCAGCCCCAGGCTGAGAGCAGGGGCCACTACGGAGGGCAGAGGAGGGTGCCAGTGCCTCACCTGGGGGGTGCGGTGGGGGCAGACAGAGCCTTCTCACCTGTGACGAGGCTGCCCTCAGCTCTCTCGGGCCCTTCTCTGCTCAGACCAGCACTCATTGCCTGGAGGCTCCTCCTGGTCCCTAAATCCTTTCATGTCCTCTGGGACCCATCTGGCTGGACAGAGGACATCCGGCCAGTTCCCTAGAAGTGGCAGGGTGTGGCACTGTTCACAGGAATTGCAGGAATGAGCTAAAACAAAGAGTTGTTAGTGTGGGCCGGCCTTTCCTTCCTCCTCAGCATCTCTGGCATGGGGAACTGAAGGCACATTCCCAGGCCAGTGTCTTCCACCTGCTCCCACCTCACCTGGTGCGTGGAGGGGAGGGAGCAGGTGAATGGAGACCCTCTGTGCCCAGTGAGGCTGGACCACTTTCTAGCTGCCCCACTGATGTTGGGCTGCTCCTGCCAGTCTTTGGTTGGCTGTGGGCACAGGGGGCCTAGAACAGTGGGCAGGGTCCTGGCTGTGTGGCCTTGAGAGAATAACCTAACTTCTCTGTGCCTTGGTTTCCCCTTCTCACTGGACTGACCGTTTATGGACAGCGGGAAGCCTGGGTGCCCAGGCTTGGGACTGGCTCTCCTAATGGGTCAGCCGACCAGTGCGTCCGTGGGTGGTCTGCAGAGGCGGCCCCAACCCCTTCCTAAGGAGACCCCCTCACTGTCCATCTGTCTGCCTCGGAGGCTGGGCTCCCAGCCGTTAACGAATTGTTTTCTGCATTCTGCTCTGCAGAACACTGGACAGTGAGATGTTCTTTTTCCTTCCGTGGACTGCGCTCCACAGCTCCTGAGTGGGGTGCAGCGTGTGTTAGCACAAGCCAGAAATTCGGTCGTAAAGATGCTGTTTCTCTTCACATTTCTCAAATGGACTGGGCTTCGAAAATCACTTCTGTAACACCAGTCAGCAGCCTGTGGAGCTCTAGGAGGGTACCTGCCGGCTGCCCAGCCCCCAGCATTGTTGCACATGGCTTTGAAACGCACAGCACAGCTCGTGTGGCCCAGGGGCACCTGCTGCCACCCCGCCTGCCGGCTCTGCCCCAGATGCCGGCCCTCGCTGGTCTCCGGGACCTCTCCCGGCACGGCTCCACCTCCTCCCTGAGGTCACTGTCCAGGCCTGTTTCAACTAGCCCCTCCAAGCCCTCCTTACCTGCCTCCTGTTTGGGTGAAACTTCGAGCATCTCTATTAACTTCGTTGGTAGCTCCGGTCCCCTGCAGTCGCCGGGGGCCCAGAGGGACACACAAAGGGAGACCACCTGCCTGGGTCCCTCCTGGCCGCCTCGCCATCGGAGGTGGGATGGGGAGCTGAGCGTCAGCCACAGTGCGCAAGGTGAAGAGTTTTGATCCCTCGCAGATCCTCAAGCCAGGCAAGGCGCCCAGCTTCTATCCCAGGTAGCAGTCTCCTATCCCAGGTCTCCAACGGCAATCGCAACCCTGTGCCCATGGAGGGCTTCCCCTGTCTAAGAGCCACTGGGAGTGGGATGGGCTAATTTCTCGGGCCGCTTTCTATTGGGCACTTCAGACTGTGCTGGGCAAGGGCAGTTGTTTGAGGCAGCTTGGGGTGAAGCTCTTAGGGAGGACGTCCTGTGCAGCTCGGCCAGCCCTGGCCAGGCCTAGGCAGCCACCAACCATGGTTTCTCCATCACCCCTAACCCCTCCCACAGCCCCTTCTCGTGTTTGCCCACCGTCTAGGCCATGCTTCCACTTTCTCACCTGGGAGGCGTCTGGTGCAGGTGGAATGCATGGAGGGAGCCTCCGCTGGGGGAGCAGCTGCTCCCAGTGTTGCAAGGAGGACAGAGCCAATGCCTGCCCCATCCGTGTCATGGCCGACGGTGGCCTAAGAAGATGTGTCCATGTCCCAGTTGCTGGAAGCTGTGCACGAGCTCTTCCTGGGGAAAAGGGCCTTGGCAGATACACGGATTTTGAGATGAGCTCGTCCTGGAGTATCTGTGTGGGCCCTAAATCCAATGACAAGTGTCCTTATACAGGAAAGGAGAGGAGGGACACTGGAGAGCAGGGGGAGGCCACGTGAGGTTGGAGGCCAGCAGGGGTTACACAGCCACAGGCCAAGGAGGGCCAGAGCCACCAGGAGCTGGAAGAGATGAGGACGCACCTTCCCCTGGAGCCCTTGGGGAGCGCAGCCCTGCCACTGCCTTGACCTCAGACTTCTGTCCTCCGTAACCAAGAGAATAAAGTCCTGCTGTGTGAAGCCACCTGGTTGTGGTTGTTTGTTCTGGCTGATACAAGAAATGACTGCAAGGCAGGTGGCACGCTGGTACCGTTTGGGTGAGCGCTCCGAGTGAGCGCCGGCCACTCCACCGAGCCTCCCACGTGCCCCCACAGCGCCGTCTGAGATGGCGACCTTGTCATCCTTGCCCGCAGACAGGGAAACCAAGGTGCCGGAAACTTAAATTGCTTGTCCAGGTGGTGCAGACGCCCAAGTGTGGTTTGTCTGAACACGGCCATCCTGAGCTTGTCTGATGGTTTGCGCTGCGGGCCGGGGCTACATGGCGACTCTGCACAGCTCACCCTACAGCAGCTCTGTGGCCCTGGGCAGTGTCCCAGTCTGAAAGTGTGGGCAATGGTTTAATCACCTCGGGTGTGTGTGGGGACTCAGTGGTGATCTATGTGGGGGCTGCCTGGGGGCCACTGAGGAGGCAGGAACAGCACAGGATTCAGCCGGTTCGCCAGGAACCCGTCTCTGTTCATGTGGTTTCCATGCCACCGTCCTATCTGACCTTCAGGACAACATTGGCCTGATTCAACCCAAGGGAGAACACAAGATTTTCTAGGTCCCCCAGGGCAGGTGGAGAGTGGGAACCGGGTGTCCAGCAGCGTCCTGCTCACCCTCACCCCCGCCTGTCTGCAGAGGAGCTCGACAGTGGGAGTGTTTTAAATATAGGCATCATTGTTATTATTATTCAGAGAGGCAAGGCCACCAGATCAGGAGACGCTGCTGTTGAAGAGATGGTTGCTAACTCATAGCTCCCAGGAGGAGGGGGAGGCGACCCCACAGGGGCCACGTGGGGCAGTACCAGGCTGGTCAGGAGGCAGAGGGAGAGGGGAGGGGAAATGTGGACCAGAGCTTCCTCATGGTTTCTGTAGGAAGGAGTGGGCGAGGCAGCCAATGTAAGTGGGTTTAGGGTTGGCAGCTGGAACAGTTTCAGAGCTCTGGGTCCCAGAGCCAGTCCCTGGTGGTCTGGAACCTGGCCCTGGGGTGATGAGGGCAGGGATAGTGGCTGGGAGTGTGGGAGCCGGATAGAGGAGGGGCTGGGCATGGGTCTGCATTTGAAAGGTGAGCTCATGAAGGCGTTGTCACTCTCTAGCAATTGACTGACCCTGGGAAGGGCCGTCCCTTGGGGTCTTCAAGGACTCAGATGCCAAAGCTTCAGACACAGAAAAGAAGACCCGGGTGGAACAGGGTGTACCGGGAGCTGTGGAGGCTGGTGGACCGGACTTGAGGCCGCCCTCCTTCTGCCTCCCTCCCTCCTTCTTCCCAGGTCGGAGTCTTGTGTGGCCCAGAGCTGGGGGCTCCCATGGGGCTGCTGCTCCCTCCTTCCACCAGGGGACAGACGGTTCCGGGCTGAGAGCACCCAGCTTAGAAACCAGAGCCCCTCGGTGGCGGCCAGCACTGGGCTCTGCTGTGTCCGGCGGTGGCTCCTGCCAGGCCCTCTCAGTCTCTCGAAGCCTCAGTTTCCCATGGGCTACTTGGGAAGTTCATGTGACATCATGCATGTTACATGTGTGACCCAGCGCCAAAGGCAGAGTAATGACTCAGAATGCGCTGGCTCTCCTGCCAGTGAGATCCAACAGCTGAAAAGAAAATTACCTCTTCATTAGAATAAGCAGGTCTGACGTGCTTCAGTGGCCACACATGGGGTGGTGGGAAAGCAGGAGGCTGAAGGGACAGGAAACCCCATGGCCTTAGGAGCTGCCAGGAGTACCCTCTCTGCAGCTGGGCATTGTGCAGGCACCATCAAGGCGGGCGGATGGGGTGTGTTTCAGAGGAAAAGGGTCAGGGCTGTGGAAGAATTGAGCAATTTCACGAGAACAACAAAACTAAAGCCGTGGTCACGTTTTAGGTGTGATGTTTGGTTTTATTTTTCCAGCATGTGAGCTAATGAGCCAGCTGAGTGAGCCTGCCTCGCCCCGTGAAGACGCCACGCAGCACAGGCTGATTTACAGACTCGCACCTGGGTGCTGGGGAGGGGACGGGGATGTTTGGCCGGGGGCCTGGCTCTGCTCCTGTCCTCACACACACAGGCCTCACGGACAGCCTCCCTGGGCCCTGAGGACAGAGCGGGTTACACAGGCTCCCTGGAATTTTGGCTGCCCCCAGCAGTAGCTGCCTCTTCTTGGGAACTCTGTGCTGGCTGCAGAAGCCCTGCAGGGGCCCAGGGGTGCGGGTGGACGGGGTGGACGGGGCCCTGGCCGAGGAGCTTTGCCTGCGACCCAGGTGGAGGTGACCTTTGAGCAGCGTGGTGCCAGGGTCCTGCAGGGTGGGGCCTTGTGGCTCTGGGAGCAGAAGAGGAGGTGCAGCGGGGGAGGTCAGAGGCAGCGCAGGCCAGGCAGGGGCAGGTGGGAGCCTTCACGGAAGCTCAGCCTCCAGTTTGGAGACCGGCCCACATGGTCCTAATGTCCTGAGGTCTCAGGGACCACAGAACTGGAGGCTAAGCTGGCAGATCTGGGGCCACGGGGACACCCCACCAGCATCCTGGGCCATCAGGCCGTATACCTGCTGCCACACCAGCTGCTTGAGTGGGGACGGGCTGGGCCCAGTTTCCATGGAGACCTCAGATGAGGCCACATTTCCCAGACTCCTCAGGAAGGGACTAATAAGGAGGAATCTAGAGTCGCCCCAATCCCCTGGGCGCTGGGGGCAGGCTCTCCGGGAAGAAGTGAGCATCCTAACGGTCCCCAACCTCTCCGGACCCTTACGCAGCAAAGGGGTCTGGGTGGGGATGGGGCCAGGGTTGGGGGAGCCAGTGTGGGGCTGAGCCAGCCATGGTCCAGTGTGGGGTGGGAGAGTGTGGGGTGGGAGGGTGGTGCTGGGAGTCACCTTCTGGCTCTGCCGCTTTCTTGTGGTCCTGAGTGGCCACATTGCCCCTCTGAGCCTTGGTGGTCTCATCTGTAGAGTGGGAGCACCTTCCTACATTATTACAAGGATTCCCCGGGATTGTGTCCACGGTGAGGTCATGTCCGTGAGATGAATCTGTGCTTTTCCTCCTGGTTCTTTCTTGTTTTGGGGGAAGTTTATGTCCTGGGGCTGAAAGCGGAATTTGCAGACACGCCACTTCCCTTTCTGTTCTCGTTTCCAGCTAAGGAACTGAAGTTGCTAATCATGTCCTGGAAGTGGGGAGGGAGGGCCCTGCCCAGACCCTGGGCCAGAGATCATTTGGGAGGTGGGGAGAGACGGCCCTGCCCAGATCCTGGGCCAGAGATCATTTGGGAGGAAGTAAGTCCCCAAGTAGGGGCTGGAGGTGCTCTAGGAGAGGTGGTCCAGCCCCTGGGGCTCCTAGTCTCAAGGGATACCTGGACCCAGGCTTGCTGGGCATGTGCGGGAGCCTGGGGTGAACACACTGTGTGGGCTGGGAGGGGCCCGGTGCAGCCCCCATGGTGGAGCCGGATTCCAGGGTGCTGACCAGGGATTTGCGACTCACACCCAGACTCAGGGGAGACAGGCTCAGTCATGGCCCAGAGGGAATGTCCCTCCATCACCAGGCATGGAGGCCGGAGGCAGAAATCAAAGAAAACACTCTCAGATGCCTTAGTCTGTGGCTAAGAACTGTACTGTGGACTTGGATGGCGGCGTTGGTGGCAGTAGAATCGACAAACATTTCTCTTGGGCTCACAAGAGGCTGGACAGGTCTCAAAGACTCAAAGAACTGGGTTCTCATATTTTACAGACGAGCAAGCAGAGGCATAGGGATGTTCAGAGATGGCCTTAGCGGCACAGTGGGGTGGCTAGCAGGGCTCAGCCCAGGCTGTGGGCTCCAAAGCCCCCGCTCTAGCACCCCCTGGCACATGCTCCTGGATGGCAGCCAGGCCCGGCACTCAGGGGAAGCTCAAAACCCATTGAGGGGTGAAGCCTGGGTTCCTTCCTTAGAGGGATCCTCTGGAGCGGGACTGCTCAGGACAGAGGCGGGTGAACTGCCTTGTATAGGGCCAGTGGGAAGCTTTCCGGTTGCTGAAGGCCTCGGTCCTGTGGGGAGACAGGGCTGCAGGCTGCTGGGTAGGGCTGAAGGAGCCTCTCCACCCATCCAGGGAGCATCCTCTAATATCCAGGGTCACCCATGGGGCCGGCTTTTCTGAAGCTCCGAGTGAGGGTTGCATCATCCAGGTCTGGGTGGCATGGCCTTGAGCAACGGCCTGATGACCAAGGACAGCCCCACAGCCTTCTAGAAGCCTCAGCCCCTGCTTTTCCTCACAGCATCTGTGCTGGGGTTGGGGGTACAGCTTTTGATCAATGCACACCCTTATGCTGATAGAATGAGTGGCTTTGAGGTATCACCGCATTTCCTGCTGAAAACTCGTGACAACGTAACGGACCCGGGTCAAAAAGGCTGCTGGCTGCTTTGGACACAGTTTGTCAGGGGAAGGGGTCAAGTTTTGGGCAGTCTTGAATTTTAGGGTCAATTTAGCTTCCACAGAGGGGACATGGCGAGCTGAGGGAATGGCTGTGTTCTCTGTGGGTGCCCCTGCAGCACTGGG